TGATGTTTATTTGGGGTTTATCTAAACTGGTGTATTAGAATTTTTGTCTTTCATCTGTCATCTAATTAAGAGTTCCCTCGGTTACTATGTAGATTGTAGCTGATACCAAACTGGCTCGTCTTGTTGACTACTGGTGCAGCTTCAAGTGACATTTAAAGAAACGGCCTAATTATGGTAATTAAGTACATACCGCTTAAGAATCCCTTTAAATAGTGTGCACACGGTCTTCAATTATCCAGGAATGTTAAGTAGGCCGGAGAGGGGAATCCTGAAATAAAACATGTATCTAAATCAATGAATAACATGTTTGCCACCAGGACGTGATTATGTGTTGGAGTATTATACTGTAGAGCTGCTGTCTGGCTGGAACACATCAGCAGCTACCTGTGGGTCTGGACAGAGTCCAGAGTGGGAGTGGTCCTCCTCAGTGTGGTCGGTGAAAGTGTGTCAGCTGCTGAAACTCAGTCTGCTCTGATAGAAATCTGGATTCACCCGATCTGAGCTGAGTCTGTTCTGCTGTTAGGGAGGAGGACGCTTGTATGTCACTGATGGAATGTAAAAATAAAACTCAGACAACTCTTGATGAAGTTATGTTCAGCTAACAAACCGAGTTTTTCCTCGTTATTCACAACATGAAGTAGTTTCAACAAGTTCTTCACATCGTTTAAAACATTTAAGTCGACGAACATTTTTCTAAAGTCGCTCCAGTTTGATTCTCTTTAATAGTTTTTTGGCTTTTTCATGTTTTTTTGTTCACGTAGTCGCTTTTAAAAAAGTTTGTTTGTTAGTAATGATGTAGTTTTATTTTGACGTGTTGTGTATTTTAACGCACAATATTTACTGTTAAAGTATAAACAGCACAAATTTAAATTAAACCACGAAATCTAAAAATAGAACGGCCTCCAAATATGACTAGCATTAGCATTAGCATTAGCAACAGAACCTGTCTGTCAGATCCCAGCTGGAAATCTTCTCAAATTCATTGTTTTGGTGTAATTTATTTGTAAAATATGCACCTTGATGTGTCCCCGGTCTCATATTGGTTTTCTAACCCACAATCTGAACCGTCTGAAGCCGTCCAGGTGTGTTTAACGGGTAAACCCTGAAACCCTGAACACGATTATTGAGCTGATTTCATTTAGTTACTCAACTTGGATTCAGTTTTTAACCACCTAAAGCAGAAATGTGACTTTAAATCACACAATATTTAGTTAATGCAGCTTTATTATGTAGAAACAACCCATCTAAATGATGTTTGCACCTTAAAGGGTTGATCTGAATCAGTAACAGCTCATTTTAATCCTTTGTGTAATCTTGTGTTCAACTTGTGTTTTCAGACAGGAAGTGTGATGCTGCTGTTCATCCACTTCCTCCTCTGACCAGCTCACATGTTCCAGCTCAGTCTGGAACATAAAGCTGCTGCAGCAGTTTAGTAGAAGGAACTTATTCTGTCTGCTGTCATCATCACGCTGAAGTCAAACCGACGCATGAAAGTGTTCCGACTTAAATAGATTATATGTATATAATCCTATTGTTACGTAGCAGATTTATATGAATCAGATTCACTTCTGAGGTAGAGTTCATTCATATTAACTAAGCTGCAGTGTGTTCTGAGAAGAACCAGACGCTGGCGTTAAACAGGTGGATTCTTCTAGCTCACCTCCAACCAGGCTGTTCATAAATCAGAGTTAATCTCGGTGGCGGGTCACAGATTTAAATGAAACAGTGATTCAGCTGTTGGTCATTAAAGGATGTGATGCTTCAGCAGCTTCACTGGTTCAGGTCTTCACCGAGTCTTCAGGTCTTCAACTAGAAAAGTCTGCAGCCTGTTGGCTTCACTGCAGCAATAGTTGAACATTTACGACCACACAGACGCTCAGCTGGACACAAACAATTCACATGTTTTATCTGTGAATTTACAGATTTTCCCTGTTTTGTATTTTATAGATAATATCTAATAAAATTACAGGAAAAAGAATAAATGTAGATGTTAACTGTAAAAAGAAAAGGACAAATTGTAAATAATTTAAAAATCTGTATTTTTAAAAACAGCAATTAATTTATTTACAATATATGATTGTACAATTACACTATTTTATTGGATTTGAATCAGCTTTAAAAATACTTTACATATATTTGCTGTTATTTTAAAGATAAATTATATATAGAGAATTCTTTTTGTTTTTTTTTAAAAGGTAAATTATTTTTTAACTGTGATTTTACAGTTTTGTTAAATCACTGGTTTTGTACTAGTTTTTGTGGGACTGTTGCTGCCAAGTGATTTTTTTAAAAGATTTTTTTTACACTGCATTGAAACAAATCTAAAAAGAACCTTTTCCAACTGTTTAAATGTAGATTTCTTTTTTGTTTTTTTGCACAGTTTACTGCTTGTTTACAGATTTTTCCTGTTTTGGTAAATTATAGATAAATTACAGAATATTAGTTTACAAGTTGACCATAAAAACAGGATTAAACTATAAATAATGTTGTAATTTGTTCTTTTGCAAAGTTTGTCTGTAAAATGACAGTTGTACTGTTTTTGAATGAGCCACTATGATTACTTTACAGCTGTTTTCATTATTTTCACAGTTTTTGAACGTTATAGTTTCATGGCTCTTGCTGCGAGTTACTCGCTGGACATTTTTTAGGACTTTAGTGCCCACGAAAGATTTAACAGTTTACAGGCGTTTGAACAGTAGAAAAGAAAACACATTAGTTACCGACATTTTTTTCCCTGTTTGGTTAAATTCTAGAAAATATGAAAAGTATGAATTTACATAGAAACTGTAAATACTGTCCACATAAAAAGAAATGGATTTCTACAAACGCTTATTAGTTCTTTTACAATATGTGACCATAATAATCCCAGTTTGACTTCATTTATCCTTATTTCACAGACACCTGCTGTTCTGTTCACAGCTCTTTTTTCTCTGCTTGTCGACACATTCCTGGGTTCAGTGAGCAGCTGACCTGCTTCTGGCTGCAGGTAAATCCTCTCTGAGGGAAACATGACCTACTTACAGCATCCACTTCAAGCATTTGACTTTTTATTCAGAAGTCCATGAGGTTCACAGAACAAACCAGGTTCTTTAGAAAATAACAGATTTATACTTAAAACATTTCGTTTTACATCTTCTTACAGAAAGTAGTTCTTCTTTTGCACAGCAAAGATAAACATTCATGTCTGAGACAACAGACTCCTGTACATGTAGTAATACTCAACGTCACCACAGTGCAAAATAACGAGACCGGAGGACCGGGTCCAGACGACCCGAACCGCTGCAGAACACAAACGGAATGTTGGTTTTGGGTCGTGATCAGCAAGTTTCAGCAGAAAAATGCTGTTTTCAAGTGAGAAAACAAACGTCAGGTAAACAGACTGGATGCTACAACAATCCTCTCAGAGTCCGGAGGCGCACCGGGTTCTGTCGGTTCTGCCGGACGTGCACCGTGTTCTGTCGGTTCTGCCACACGTGCACCGGGTTCTGTCGGTTCTGCCAGACGCGCACCGGGCCGTTACCGTCCAGTAGCCTTGTGTGGGTCTGAGTGAAGACCAACTCTGTCCAACAGAGAACTTTTGGCGGCTCAGAGGCGCACAGGTGCCCAAAGTCCCTCAGGCGGTTTCCTGCAGCTTCACCTCCTCCGGCCCGGTACCGAGCGGCGGAGGCTCCTGGTTCTGGCTCTCTATGGACGACTCGGAGCCGGTGCTCTCCCCGGACAGCAGCCTGGTGACCCGCAGGTCCGCTTTCAGAGTCTGCACGTCGTTGCCGATGCTCATCTCGCCCAGGTCGTTGATGAGCTGGGTCAGCTCCGGCTTCCCGGTGCCGACTCCGTCCGGCTCAGTGTCCAGAACGTCCTCGCACTCGAAGTGCATCGCCTTCTCCTCCTCCTCCTCTCCCACCGAGTCCTCCGTGATGGAGCCCAGCTTGGGCGCGCTGCGGCTGCGCTCCACCGGCGGCTTGTAGTAGCACTGTCCGTTGAGCAGCTTCCGGAGCGGCACCAGCGGGATGGTCTGCTCCCCGATCAGCTGCTGCTGCTGGTGCCGCGCGTCGTCGCGCCGCTTCAGCCGCTTGAACTCGGCCAGCGCCGTGGCGGAGGTCTGGTACAGCAGCAGCGCCATGGCCTTCGCCTTCTCCGGCTTGGACACGAGCACCGCGTGGCAGCGCAGCATCACGGCTTTGTGCTTCATCTCGTGCCGGTAAATCCACGCAAAGATCTTGGGCAGCCGCGGGTCGGCCACGCAGTAGGTGATCCGGTGCAGCAGGTACAGGTGTCCCGGCCGGCGGGCCTTGTCGTCCACGTGCACCATCCGGATGCCCTGCGAGCTGACCGTGAGCCGCATCTTGGTTCCGTTCTTGCCCATCTCGCTCTTGCCCCAGATCTTGCTCACCGCCACGTCCGTGCAGCCGTCGCCCTTGGACTGGATGGTGGTGGCGTTGCCCAGGTACAGCACCGTGTAGGTGGGGTCCTCGCTGGTGATCTTCACCTTTTTCCTCTTGGACTTGAACATGCTGCCCACCCGGTTGAGCGCGCTCTCGGGGCAGGACTTGGCGAAGGAGGTGAGCGCGGAGTAGTGCAGGCTCACCGCATAGCCCTTCTGCTTGGACTGCTTGTCTTCCTCGATCAGGTCGAACTTGTTCTTCTTCCACGGCAGCATTTTACGGCAGTTTGCAGGCGGCGGAACAAACACACTGTGAGTGACTGGGTCCTGGAGGCTGCGGTCATGTGAGAGCTGCTCGAACGGAACCGAACTGTGAGAGTCCGTCCTCTGACTGGTCCATGGTCCTGCAGCTGAGCGTCCACCGAGCAGCGATCAGACTACCGCTCCACCCGCCGCCGCGCCGCTTAAATACCGGGCCGAACCATCAGGCGGTCCGCGGGGGGTGGACCGAACCAAGTGAGCAGAACAGAAAGTTTCCAACTAGCGCAGCTCAGGTTGGACTAAAACTGAAAACTCGTTCACATCAGGCACACGTTTACTGGAGCTGCTAATTACTCTATTTACGGTTTCATTGATTATTATATTTATATGAGCTTCTAATAAATAAAACTGCTTTAATGTTCATCATGTTGAGGTTGAATTTTGTATATCTTTGTACCATTTTAATGTTTGATATTTATTATAGTTATATCAGGGGTTTAATGCTTTCTTCTTAAACTACTTACCATAAATTCACATCATAAATAAAAGTAATTCCTGCATTTACGTTCATTTTGCTGTGACAGTCAGTAAGTGACTGTATAATATATATTAATATATATTAAGGCAGGTTTGCTATTAAAGTGCCAACATGATTTAAAATACATAGAAACAGGGATTGTTATTTCAGATAGGAATCCAGATTTCTATTAAACAAAGTGTAAAAATCTCAAATCAAATCATCCAATCAGATCAAGTTTATTGTCATGTTGCTGTACGTACACAGTAGTACAGGCAAGATGAGCGAGTTTTTCTTCAGGATCCAATAACTTAAAGCAATTTAAATAAAGAAGTGTTTGCATCAGCAGTTCAGCATTCTGACAGCTTGTGGAATGAAGTCTGGATCATTCATCTGTATATTAAACAAATATATAAATGAAGTGAAGATAAAATCACGGAGTTTAATGACAAATCTACAACATATAAACTGAATAACTAAACCAAGGCCTCACATCTTTCAGGATTGAAGTTAGCTTTGCTTTTATCGTCACATCTCCTCCCCAACAAATTAGTTCCTGAATGAAGTCAACATTCAGCAGTTTCTCAGTGTCATTCGTCACACAGCAGAAGTCCAACGTGTCAGTCAGCTGTTCTGGTTCAGGTGGAGGCAGGTGAGTCTGATTCAGCTGTGTGGTGCTGCCACCTGCTGGCTGTAGTCAGAAGGACATTTGTTTGTGTGATAGTGGAACAGTAAAATAAAATGAAAATGAATTTGTGTTAATATTACACAGGATGCAATTATTTGATTTGTTTGTTTTTTGCAGAGTCATAACTTTTGTTTTAAATGATTCAGGCCCGTCTCTATAACTGATAACAGCACAGGGTTACTATTTAAAATTAGTCATGTAAAGGTGTATTTTATATATGTTTTGTCAAGTTTTTATCCCTAATATTCCTTATAGTCAGATGAAGCTGTGTTTTGTATAATGCTTTGTAAGGTTTTAGTCCTTGTTTCTTTTTAGTCCGGTAAAACTTGTGTTTTATTTAATCATATCAATATCAGATGAACTTGTATATCATATAATATTTTTGTAGGGTTTTAATGCTTATTATGTATTTTAGTGAGTCAGTCGAGTGGTTTGGTAAAGTTACATTTGATAACATTTCTGTAAAAAAAAATAATCCTTAACATATATTACCACCATATAAAGTTGTATTTTATATCATTGTTGTTGGGTTTGAGTATTAATTATTGTAATTATCAGATAAAGTTGCATTTTTGTCAATCAATTCAGCAGCGTGTCAGTTTTTAATGTCTATTATGTTCAGGTAAAGTTGAACTTTATATACTTTTTTGGTAGGACTTTAATCTTCAATATGCAAATAACTGCACACTATAATCAATACTGAGGGTCTAAACCTCAACATTTAAGCTAACTATTTGATTTGTAACTAACTTTTTAACAAGAAAAACTTTAACTGTTGTTTTAAATGTTTGATACAAATACCAGTGAGTTGACCTCATGACTCTATTTTTTAAAACCAGATCAGCTGTGCAGTAGGAACTGAAGTTGGTACTGGCCTAGTTTCTTCAGGTCGCATTTAATCGCTGGACAGCTACCGGGAATATACCACTACATTAAAATCTGTGCTTACTGTAAACTGACTTAACAACGTATGTTATTATGGTCTAGACATGAATCGATCATTTCTAATAGACTTAATTTATGTTTATTTACATTTTAATCCCATTTTTTTCTTTAATTTGCGGCTTTGCTCTGACGTCACTGTCCGGAAACACCCACTCAGTGGTTTGTTCCACTTCCGGGTTTTACGACAACAAGTTGTGCACATGTAGCGCAGCAGCCAGCGTTGGTTTGGTTTCAGGAGCTCCTGGTTTTATATTCTCACAGTGTTTAGGGACAGTTTGAGGTTTTATATTCTGTGAAGTTTCCGTAGATTCGGTTGAAATGGGGAAGAAGAAGACGGGACTCGGCAGAGCGCTGATTAAGGAGCGACTCCAGACGGGCCGAGGAAAGCCGAGAGGAGACACCTGGGTGAGACAGCAGCAGCCCACACTGAACACCGTTTAATACGCTTATATCCGGATATCTGTGAACTATTAGTGTTTCACAATCGACTGTTAACTGCTAGCAAACGACTCAGAGGCCCAGAGGGCTGCTAACTGTTCTGACAAGTTTCGGTTGCGCCAAACTCCATTCAGAAGATGAGTTTTTTTAATTTCTTTTCTAATCAGTAGCGCAAATTCATAAAATTAAACTATGTTCACAATGAATAAGTCACTGAGGTAGATTCGGCATTCAGAAAAAATATCCAGAAGTGTTGTTTCTCGTCTAGTGTCAAGTTTTTAGAACAGTGGGCAGAAAGCTGTACGAAGTAGTGAGCTCAATGAGTTTACAGGGATGTTTAGAAATAAATGTGGCTCTGTTTTAACCTGAGAGATCACCATGGTTAACTGATGCTGCACAGCTAGATCACCATGCTAACTAATGCTGCACAGCTAGATCACTATGGTAACTAATTCTGCACAGCTAGATCACCATAGTGAACTGATGCTGCACAGCTAGATCACCATGGTAACTGATGCTGCACAGCTTCCACAAGTTTCTCACAACAGTTTGATGAATTCTGGCCCATTCCTCCTGACAGAAGTGGTGGAACTGAGTCAGGTTTGTTGGCTTCCTTGCTCCACTAATGTTCTCCAAGACTGAGATTGGGGCTTTCGCTGTTTTCTGGACCGTTGCCTGCTCTGGAGATGATCAGGTGTCCAGCATCAGTTACTGTGGAGATGTAGTCCTGAGAACCCAGAGTTAAAGCTGAAGTTACCTCCACAACCTCTAGTCCTGCTTCATGGTTCAGGCCTCAGGTTCAGGGTGTGTGTGGATGTAGGATAGTCGTAGGGATATAAACTATGATAACAGCTGTTTGGTGGCAGTTTCTTTGTCTTGCAGAGTTTGTCTCACTAATATTCAGTGATTGTTTCTGCTGATCTTGGCTTTCAGCTCCACACCAGTGAACTGAACGATGGCTACGATTGGGGTCGACTGAACCTGCAGTCGGTGACAGAACAAAGCTCCATGGACGACTTTCTGGCCACCGCTGAACTGGCGGGAACAGAGTTTGTTGCAGGTAAGCTTTAAATGTTAAAACTAAAAAATCGTGTTGTTCACAGCACAAAACAGGTTCTGACATCAGCTGCTTCTGTGTTAGATCGTTTCAAGTCTGTTTTAAAGAGTCTTGTTTTTAGTTTGACTGTAATCTAAGCTCTGAGAAGCAGAAAAGTCTCTTTAAACTGGTTCCCAGTATGTTTCATGGTCTTTAAACTGGTTCCCAGTATGTTTCATGGTCTTTAAACTGGTTCCCAGTATGTTTCATGGTCTTTAAACTGGTTCCCAGTATGTTTCAGGATAGATTTTTATAATTTGTTTGTTTTATTTTGCTGCTCTTTGTAACCTGGATTTTGAAAAGGTCTCGAACAATCCAGAGGAGAAAAAACATTTCCTCTGAATTCCTCGACAGTATAATAATAATAATAATAATAATAATAATACATATTAGTAGTAGTCGTACCAGTATAGTAGTACTAATATAAATAAAGTTTACTTTCTGGCAGCTCTTGTGAGCTTCCTGATCACTGCTCTGATTCAGTGTTTCTATTCGTTAGATCCAGTTAGCCATGGTACTCGTTAGACATCGTGAATCGTGCTTGTCCCGGCGGTTTGATTTTTATTTTACTGTGTTCGTGCTGCTGCTTCCATCTGGTCTGCTTCCCACACACAAACCCGACAGGAAGTTGTTCTGAAGCAGCTTAGAGGAACCTTGAAGACGTTCTGCTGCTGTTTCTGATTCCTCCGTTTGTTCTCAGAGAAGCTCAACATCCAGTTTGTTCCGGCCGAAGCTCGAGCTGGTTTATTAACCGCTGAGGAGAAAACCCGACTGAAGAAGCTGCACGAGGAGAACAAACACTTCCTCAGAATTCCTCGACGGTCAGTTTAACACAGCTGGTTGGTTTTACAGCACAAAGCGTGTGTCACATTTTCTAACGTCTGTGCTGTCTGCAGGCCTCACTGGGATGAAAGCACGAGTCCAGAGGAGCTGCAGCAGGCGGAGAAGGACAGCTTCTTGGAGTGGAGGCGAGAGCTGGCCCAGTACGGAGCGTCCTCTGTTTGTTTATCAGATGTTTGAAATTCAGAACATCGTCTAACGCGTGGTGATCTAACTCAATGTGTTGCTTCCAGAGTGGAGGAGGAACAGAAGTTGATTCTGACCCCGTTTGAGAGGAACCTTGAGTTCTGGAGGCAGCTGTGGAGAGTCATCGAGAGAAGGTACAAAAAGAACTGTTCTCAGTTAACGTCTGGTTCGGTTCAGACAGACGTCAGCAGATATGTGGCGGCTCTGACTCACAGTTTATTCACTCTGCAAAATGCTTTCACTGGAGCCAGAAACTAAACTCTACGTTAAAGCATCACACCTGCTAAATTCTATGCTCTGTTTTT